AAATGCTCTAACACTGAGCCACAACCCCAGCGACCCCCACCTTTTTGTACTGGGCATTGAACCCAGGGGCGCTCGCTCTACCACTGAGCTACATCCCCAGCCCATTGGTTATTATTTTTTATTTCATTTCTAAGTTGACCAGACTGGTTTTTAACTTGAGATCCTCCTGCCTCAGCCTTCTGGGCCAATGGGATTATAGGCATGTGCCAGCCTGGCTGCTAACACTTTGTTTTTCCTTGTTTCATAGAGTTTTGGAGCCAGGGGGCATTTAATAAATTATTCAACTGAAAATCTTTGTGTTACAAATGACAAGGAGACAAAGGACCCCCATAGAGACTGAGGCCAGCACATGGTTCCTGTGTGCCCCTTTGAGCTAGCCAAAGGCCAGGTCTCAAGGGAGAGGGAAAAACAGAAAGCAAGTTGAAGACAAGTTATCGTGGAGATAAAAGGAAGTCCAGTCTCATTAGAATAGTATTTTGTTAGAGTACTGGTATTTGTTAGAGAAGTGGGAGAGTACTGGTAAGGGATGGGTGGACTGGACATAGGCTGAGTAGAAGAAGGCTTTGATGCCAGGTGGAGGAGGTTGAATTTTGCCCTGTATGAAAGGGAACTGCTGAGGATTTTCTTTAACAGGGAAAGGAGTATTTTACCAAGACTCATCCAACAATATTATATATGCTCAATTAGACCCAGGAGAAAGTGGGACACATAGGAGATGATGACAGTCATCCAGATAGGGGTAGAAAGGGAAAGAAGAGAAGCAATAAGTCTGGCCTCATGTGCCCCAAGGCTTTGAGCATGCTGGGTATTCAGTAAGTTAGCTACCTAATTGATACAGGGATGAAGAAGGGAAAGTCAACTGAAAGTGTCAAAAAAACCCAAGGGTTTTTCTCACACCCTATCATAAGGACCCTATCGGAGCAATATAGCTTTCAATTTATTATAAGAGTTTTCTCACACATAATCTTTATAAATACATCCCATCATTGCCCTCTACTGGGGCAATGCGGGACCTAGAGCTAATTCTGGTCCTAAGCAGAGGTTTGAAAAACATATACCCCTCACCACCATCAGCAATACCAGAGGAGGTGAATTCTGAGACAATAGAACCAGCTGCATGAAAGGTAGTAAAGATCCATGTCAGTGGAGGTATTCAGGCTCAAATCCATTTGGGGGAACATTATAAAGAATATGCTTATGAGCTTCCCTGGTGGTGCACACCAGAATATACCTCCAATCAGTAACAGACAGATCTCTGAAGTGCCTCCTAGCTTGGGTATCCCACGAAGCTGGGTGGATGTAAAGTCAGCAACGTGCCTGACCCAACCTTATGCAATTGACTAGAAATTAGGTTTTTAATGTCTGGTTCAGTATTCTTATCACTTCACTATTTCACATTTGCATCTTGAATCATCTCAAGGGAAGAAGTTAAGTTACACTCTGGGACTGGCCAGAAACACCCATATAAAAACAAAATCAGTAAGAATTGGCTCTTAAGTGCATTTAACCCTTTTGCGGCCCTGCCTGCATAGAGTGTGAATTGGGGAATGGAAGTGAACTGGTTTTGTTCGCTCACTACTCCGTTGCTTTGCATGTTACTCAAAGATAGAGACATTGTCTCCTCAGTTGGAAAATAAATGTAAATATTTCTGTCTCATGTGGGTGCTACAAGATAAATGAGAAGATGTTGTTTCTATCAACAAATAGATCAATAGACACGCTCTGATTAACTCTTTGTCAAGAACACAGTACACAATAGTGGTGATGTTCAATCTACTTATGATCTCGTGGGCACAGCACCAGTCACTCAGAGCCACAATGGCTCATCTGCCAGACCAGTGACTAACAAGGTGACTGTAAAGTCACAAGACAATTTTCAATAATCAGGAAAGTAGTATGGGAGCCAGATAGGCCTAATATTTTCATTATTTTTTTTTAGTTGTAGGTGGACACAATATCTTTACTTTTATTTATTTTTATGTGGTGCTGAGGATCAAATCCAGTGCCTCACACGTGCTAGGCGAACGCTCTACCACTAAGCTACAACCCCAAGCCCCCTAATCTTTAATTCTGGTCCTGCCACTTAAACATGTGACCTTAACCATCCTGAGCCTTGGTTTCTTTTTCTGTAAAATGGGGATAATAACATGGGACAGATAGCAAATATCTGTACATAAAGCACAATGCCTTGACCCATGAAACACTTTTTAAGATGATGGCTATTTATTTTTTTTTATACCAGGGATTGAACCCAGGGACACTTAGTTACTGAGCCACATCCCCAGCCCTTTTTTGTACTTTTATGTAGAGCCAGGGTCTTGTTGAGTTACTTAGGGTCTCACTAAGTTTCTGAGGCTGGCATTGAACTTGCAAGCCTCCTGAGCCACTGGGATTACAGGCATGTGCCACTGCTATTGAGCTGTTATTTTTAACAAAGCACCTAGAACATATTAGATGTTCACTAAACAGCAGTCCGTAGTATCCCTTTCCTCCTATTGCTGTTGTAAATCCCTGTACTGACTCAAACCTTAAAATGGGGTGTATATTTTCCTGGCTGCTGTTAGTAGTCAACACTACACTGTGCACCATCGGATTTACCAGATTTCAACATTTCACTACACCACGTTGAATATGTAAAATCTGGCCTCTCATTTAAGATCACTTTTGCAGGACTGTATATAAAATATGTTTAAAGTTTTACATTGAAATTATATGACTACAAGTAATTTGTGATCAATGCTGTGCCCTTCTTCATTCGCAGTGCTTGGGAATTCCTCCAAAATGAGAAAAATCTAAATAAGATCATTTTCCAATGTAATGTACTTTTTATGCATGCCAAACTTCAAAATAAATAAAATTGACTTTGTTACTTTTGTAATAGGTAAGCAAATATTTGATTTTATATTTGCCTTTTTCTGTATTTGGAGCCAGTACATTTTTTTCCCAGTCTCAAAAACTGTAGGTCCCTGGAAATCTCCCAGTCCCTAAACACAAAGCCTCTAGTGCTTAATGGATAAAACAGCCCTAAGACTGTGGCAGTTGAGAAGGCTCATGATGAATGACTAGGATCAAATACACAATCAAAGGAACCCCTTCCCCAGGCTGCCTGAGTGAAGCTGGTCAGCTGCAGGGCCAGCACATGTTTGCAACTTAATTGGATTTGGAGCTTGCAGAGCCTGTGGCCAGTCATTTGGTCAGCAGGAAATGTTTAGGCCAGCCCTCGGCTTCTGCTGCCATCCCCACCCAATCACTCCAAAGCCTGGTGGCTTAGATTATAATTGTTAATGAATAATCACTTGGTAATCTTTTCATCCCAATGGGAAAGGCTCAGATGAGGGCCTGCAAGAGAGAAATGACATCTGGGGAAAAAAAAAAAAAAGAAAGAAAGGGGGGAAAAAATCACAGTGGTGCTCAAGCCAAGTGCCTGCTGGGTAATTTTTTCTTGGGTCCAAAAAATCAGTATTTTGTTTGCTTTGTGGGAAGAACTGCATGAAAGGATTCTTACCATGGAAAGGGGGAGTTCTGTTGGTGAACCAGGCTCCACCTTGGGACAAAGAGACCAACCCCTCAGAAGTTTCACATTCAGAAATGGAGAAGAACATATTTTCTCGAAGGCAGAGGAGTCATATAAATGCCAGTGGTTGGGATGCTGGATGGAATTCAAGACACCAACACGGATCTGAGGAGCTATTGCACAGATCAAGTCTTGCCAGCTGAAGTTATTTGCTTTTTTCCTTGACAATTTTTGTAATATCTACTTACTTCATTACTATAATTTACCAGATACATATTTATTCATTTATTTCAAATAATTCTTTGAAAATGAAACTGTGCAGTACCATCTTTCACAAAGTACTTGTGCTATTTAATAAACAGAAATAAAAATAAACATAATGAATGTCATCTGTTTTTTCAAAACTCTCTTCTAATATTATTTTCAGCTGAAGACTCAGCCTGAGGCCTGTTGTCTCTTGAAAGGGAGGAAAAACAAACCCTAGTGAGTATAACAGAATGTTTCCTTCTTGCTCTAAGAGGAAACTTTCTCCCAAATGTTATCAGAAAGGTTAAGAGAAAGTTATTTAAGGTAATGTTCACACACCACCTAAAACCACAAACAGAGACACGCTATGCTCTGCTTCTCTGGGAAGCTCTTTCCCCTTCCCTAGGCAGCTGGCACTGGACCAAAGGGAAGGGTTGAAAGTCAGGAAGCTCCCAGTCCCTGTGCTGCCACTCACTCAATGGCCTTGGGAAGGGCACTTGCCCTTTCAGGAACTTGAGCTCATTCTCTCTCTAAAATGAGGCAGTCAATTGAGGTGATCTCAAAGATCTCTTCCAGTTCTGACCCTCTATCATTCCAAGGCATTGCCCAGCAGGACAAAATGTCAGACATGGAAAGAACCCACTCACTGTACAGCTTTACCATCTGGTGCAGTGATTCCCTGACTCAGTGAGACCATTTTTCTGTAACTTCAGTGAGAAACAGAACTGCAGAGTGGAGAGGAATGAGTCTAACTCCACAATCCTAATCCACCTTTTCCAGGACACCTAGCCAGACTGGGAGATCTTTGGCCTGTTTTTCTTCAAAGACTGGTTTCCCTTCATGACTACTTCTCAGAGAGTCAAAAAGGAAACGGGAGTATGGAAAGAAAAGAAGCAGTGGAAGCTTGATTAAAATGTTGTATTTGATATTCTCTAGTAGTGGGTGATGGGGAATTTCCTTAACTCAGTTTGCTCATGCATATAGAGAGGGTAATTATATTCACTTTATACAACTCTTGTGAGGGGTAGACAATAAAAGTATTTATTGAAGGCATAAATAGTACATTAGCCGCTGGGATCAAAAAGTAAAGTGCAGATGGTCTCCTCAAGTATCTTGGGCTGCAGGAACCCTGCAGTAACTGACTTAGGGTATGAAATTCTTGGAAGGACTAGCAGGACTCGCATGATTACCTACTCACCCATCTACTCCTCCCCTCTGTTCCACTTCCCCCTTAGGAGAAATGGCACCAGCCAGACCAGGATTCTACCCACTGATGCTGCTCCTGCTGCTGGGACTGTGGGTGCTTGAGACCCCAGTCAGTGCCAAGCCCAAGAACATGACCTCATCTCAGTGGTTTGAAACTCAGCACGTGCAGCCCAAGCCGCAAGCATGCAACTCAGCCATGGGTCACGTCAACAAGTTCACAGAACACTGCAAGAACCTCAACACCTTCCTGCATGAATCCTTCTCCAATGTGGCCACCACCTGCCAGACCCCCCAAATAACCTGCAAGAACAACCATGAAAACTGCCACCAGAGCCCAGGACCTGTGTCCCTCACCATGTGTACACTCACCTCAGGGAAGTATCCGAACTGTAGGTACAAAGAGAAGCATCTGAATGCATCTTACATAATAGCCTGTGAACCTCCCCAAAAAAGGGACTCTAGGAAATTCCGGCTGGTTCCTGTGCACTTGGATAAAATTGTCTGAGGTCTGGGATCCTCCTCCCAAGCTCTGCAAACACTTTTCATTGCTGAGCATTTCCTCCCTTGAGTTCTTTACTAATCCTTACTGTCTTTACAAATACCACTTCCCTCCTACCAACCCAAACTCATGTTCTCTTGATTCCTTAGGGGGTTTTATGGATGAGCCAAAGGAGGAACAGAGGGGTCCTTCTCTTTATCCTTCACCGCTGCTTACTTTTCTTTCTCAGTGTTTGGTACTATGTGGCTCTTCCAGAGTCAAGCACTGGGGATCTCAGCATGGTTGGATCCAGGCTTTGTGGAGTAATGGCTTATGTAATTTTGGAGACCTTCTTCTTAAAGAAAAAGAATCTAAAATTACAAGCACAAGATAAGTTAAGGACCTTGGAAGGGCTGTGGTTGGACAGCCTGGAGGAATCCCAGACAGGGGCAATTATCTAAGGAAAGTGGTCAGCAGAATCAGTGCTGGGTTCCCTGTATCAGACAAAGAAATGTGTCTGATTTTGCTGAAATAAAAGACTATGCTTTTCCTGATTGAGTTCATGTTACTGTCTGGAGGGAAGAAGAAAGATTTGTAGCTCTTGTTCAGAGGCCCATTATCTATCTATCTATCTATCTATCTATCTATCTATCTATCTATCTATCTATCTATTTTGGTACCAGAGATTGAACCCAGGACACTTAACCACTGAACTACATCCTCAGCCCATTTTTATATTTTACTCAGAGACAGGGTCTCACTGAGTTACTAAGTGCCTCCCTAAATTGCTGGCTTTGATACTCCTACCTCAGCATCCCGAGTTGCTGGGATTACAGGTGTGCGCCACCATGCAGGTCAGAGGCCCTTCTTAATTTCTGCGGACATCAGCTTCATCTGCCCCAGGTAGGAGGAAGCGTAGCATCCTGATCAAACACAGTCACGGAGACCTTGACACTGTCATCCATTTCCTTTAAAACTGTTTAGAGGTCCCATCTCTTGCAAAGGGGAGGAAGGAAAGGAAGAATAGGCTATGCCCAGGATGCTGAAGCCTGAACCCTTGTTGGTGGTCAATACCTGAGTTCATGCTTCACTAATATAACCCAGATCAGAAGCCTCAGCCTTCTAAAGTGAATTTCTCTTCCTTGGAAATTTCAGAATCAAGACTTACCAAAAGTCTTAATCAGTGCTTGTCTACTAGTATAGTAGCCAAGGAGTAAAGGAGCAGTTTTATATGTAATCTGCCTAGACCAATACTCTTATAAAATACAATTAAATGAATTCTAGGAAATGAATAGAACATATAGATAAAGAAAACAAAATCCTCAAATTTTTATTACTAGATTCAATTAACATAAAATTACTCTGTCAACTTGTTGTAAAAGTTTGTTTCTTCTCAATTTCTGTACTTATCTTAATAGATATTCAGAGAAAAACATACAGATTATACACATTGACATGCATACAAACCAACACAAGACATATATAATACACTTCCATACATATATGGGAACACAGGGACACATGTTCACACACATGTATGAGTATGTACAACACACACATATACATGCACACACACTCAATAGCAAGGCACCTCCTCTCCTTTCCTCTACCATTTCTGTTTTTTCTTCACATCTCCCTTCCCATATTTGTAAAGATTTTCCTACACAGGCTATGATTCAGAGTAAGGAAAGGATGTTTGTTGAGACATGAAGTGGCAGAGAAAGCATAGAATTCAGAAATTCCAACTCCCAGCCTCCTTCCAAGCTTTCTAGGATTCGAGCTCATTACCAATACCAACACCATCCCACCCGCAACTGCAGCTTCTCTCACAGCAGGCACAGCCCGTGCACACCATGCTCTGCCCATCACCACCACTTAATGTTGATCACTCCTGTGCTTGGGACTAGGGAAGAAGACACACTGGAAGTGAGAGAGAAGCAATACTCTCCCACCACTCTGGCATCTTCCCAGGGTTGTAGGCAGCTCCCTTTCCTGCATCTGCACCTTAAATGATAGTGTTTCTCAGGGTCCTATTCTTAGCTCTGTTTTCTTCTCACACGGCGCTCAATGAACTGATTTTGTCCATGCCTTCAACAGCCATTTACCTACTGCTAAAGGCATTTCTCCAGCCCAGATCTCTCATGGTCTAGGCATGTATGTCCCTGTACCTGTTGTTTCTGGCCTCAATGTCCTGCAGGCATCTGTACACAGAACAGGACAAAGTTTGTGATCACCTGGCTACCAAATGCATCCTCCTCCTGCAGTCTCTTGGGCTTACTTAGTGGAATCATCATATTCAATCATTTAAGATTATAATCTAAGACACATCATTTTTTGTTTGTTTGTTTCCTAAATAATTACCCATTTATCCCAGTACTGCCTCAAGAGAGCACAAAAATTCTTGGGTTTTCTCTTTTGGTACTGGGGATAGAACCCAGAGGCACTTAACCACTGAGCCACATCCCCAGACCTTTTTATGTTTGATTTTTGTTTTGTTTTGTTTTTGGTGGGGGGGAGTACCAGGGATTGAACTTGGGAGCACTCGACCACTGAGCTAAGCTGCGTCCCCAACCCTATTTTGTACTTTATTTAGATACAGGGCCTCACTGAGTTGCTTAGTGCTTCACTTTTGCTGAGGTTGGCTTTGAACTTGTGATTCTTCTGCTTTAGCCTCAGGAGCTGCTGGGATTATAGGCAGGTGCCACCACAACAGGCTTTTTTGTTGTTGTTCTTGTTTTATTTTAAGGAAGGGTCTTACTAAATTGCTGAGACTGTCCTCAAATCTGCAATCTTCCTGCCTCAACCTCCCAAATCACTGGGATTTCAGATGTGCACCATCAAGTGCAGCTTGAGTTTTCTTTTCTCCTCTCTTTTCTACCAAATAGCATTGGGTTCCTACATATTATGGCCTTCAAGTGGGCTGTAGTTTGGAAGGACCTAGGCAAACACACCTAGGTTATTGTGATGGCAGATTCATTATCTTGTTGAAGAGGCAATAATAAAAATACACATGAAATACTCTCAAAAGTAAAACAGGAGAGAAGAAAGAATTAAAAATGGCTTCTGTAACCTTTTTCTCCCACTGCCCCAGGCTTTCATTTTTCTTGACCTTAAGTTAATTCTCTATTTAGTGTTAACCTTTCTGTTGTATATCTCTGGCTAACATTAGGTCTAGAACCACAGTTAGGCAACACAGGAAAAATTCAACCATTCAATATCTATAAGAGTTGTGGCCCCAGAATCTGGGAAGCTTCCAGAATAGAATGAATCCTTAACTAGACTAATTATATCCAACAAGTGGTGTAGCAACCCGGGTAGGAGTTTCTGACTTCCGTGTGTAGGCTAAAGAATTAGGTGGAATGTAATTTGAATCTAGGAACCATGGGCTATAAAACAGGCCCATTTGGAGAGTAATGACACAGCTACATGAAACTGGGCTCAGTGGGGCAGCTGGGGGCCTGAGAAGAGCTATCCCAAAGTCTGGGGACAAAACCTCTACTGACTGTGCTCTCCAAGCCACCGAGAACAGGCTTCTGAAACATTGCTTGGGAAGGGGCTCCCAACCATTTGATTCAGCCATTATTTTCTAATAGGTAAGTATGTTTTAATTCCAGAAAATTTAGAATTAAAGACAGAAATATTTATAAGAATGAAACACATAGCAATAACATGTTTAAGGAATTTGTACATATTTGGTATTGTGGGTATTTGTAATGTTTAACAGAATTTAGGGGCTGAGGATGTAGCTCAGTGTTAGAATGCTTGTCTCGCATACAGGAGACCCTGGGTTTGATTCCCAGTACTAGAGAGAGACAGAGACAAAGAGAGAATTTAGTCTATTACCCTAACAAGATGGACTTGTAATTCTAATTTAAAATGTGCATGATTTGAAATAAAACTTTCCTTTAAAACTAGTTTTGGGCCAGGCGCAGTGGTGCATGCCTGTAATCCCAGCAGCTTGGGAGGCTGAGACAGGAGTTCAAAGCCAGCCTCAGCAAGGACAAGATGCTAAGCAATTCAGTGAGACCCTCTCTAGATAAAATATTTAAAAAAAAAAAAAAAAAAGGACTGGGGATGTGACTCAATGGTCAAGTGCTCTTGAGTTCAATCCCGGTATCTCCCCCACAAAAAAAAAAAAAAAAATCTAGTGTTGGAATGCCAGGCATGGTGGCACACTCCTGTAATCCCAGCTACTTGGGAGCCTGAGGTAACTTGGTAAGAACCTGTCTCAAAATAAAAAAAAATAAATAAAAAGGGTTGGGATATAGTTCAATGGTAGAGAACCACTGGGTTCATTCCCCAATACTACTGCTTACTACTATAACTACTAATACTAATACTAATTATAATAATAATAAAATTGGTGTTAGAACACAAGAAAATTGATTCACCCTATTTATAAATCATTAGATTTGTAATTTTTAGGTATTCAAGAATGTTTTGCTGGTTGGCTCAGATGACTGAATTACTTAATAAGGACATGAAATATATTAAATTTATAAAATATACTTTAACTATTTTAATTTATATTTAATCATTAACTACATTTTTTTATTGTGTAAACAGCATGCCTTTATTTCATTTGTTTATTTTAATGTGGTGCTGAGGATCGAACCCAGTGCCTCCCACATGCAAGGCAAGCACTCTGCCACTGAGCTACAATCCCAGCCCACCATTAACTACATTTTTAAAGGCCCAAATAGTCATTAAATTCTTTAAAGTGATTATCATAATTTATTTCTTTTTAAGTTACATATAAAAGATTAAAAACTGGACTTCTGATCTATAGCTTAATATAAAGAACATAATTTTTCTTTTTCCCCTTTTTTGATACTGAGGTTTTAACTCAAGGGCACTTAACCACTTGAGCCATATCCCCAGCCCTTTTTATTTTTTATTTTGAGAAAATCTCACTAAAGTGCTTAGGGTCTTGCTAAGTTGCTGATGCTGACTTTGAACCTGTGATCCTCCAGTCACTGGGATTACAGGCAAATGCCACCATGCCCAGCCAGGGACATACTTTTTTT